GTGAAGTGCTCTGAGAGAATGTCCTCCACATTTACTCTCACCTTTCTATCATCCAGAAACTTAGATAACCAGCAATTAATCCCTCACGGAAGTCCCACTTCGGACATTTGATATCTAAGGCCGTTGTGCCAAACACTGTCAAATGTTTTCTCAATATCGAAAAATTAAGCGACAATGCACTCTTTTTGTATATATTAAAATTGGCTATTATTGCTTCAGTACGTCGAATTAGGTGGACGATTGTAGATTTACGAAAGCCATGTTAAATTCCTGGTAATTTTAATGTAGTTTCCAGATGTGCTAGAAGTATTTTACTTATAATTTTCTCTAATATGGTGTTTGTTTCTTCCAGAAATTCAAAAGTAGTTTACCATTGTTATTAGTAGTTTTACATCCAAATATTATATTTGTTTTTATCAATATACGTTTATTATGTTGTAAATACTTGGCTGGATGGTTAACAGTACAAACCAGCAACTGTAATAGAAACATCAATAACTGTATTTTCGTTGACAGCGTTGAATTGGGCTTGTTTTACCGAAGTTTGTTTATTGAGAACCATAATACACCTTGCCCACAGTTTGTGATATCTATATATATAAGATCTCATGCCGCTTGGAAACAAGACTACCTTTAATACTGATGCGTGAGAAGGTAACGTGCTTACTCGATTTGATAGATGTTTGATCGTGTTTGTTACGACCTGGAAGGGTCAGGTGCTACGAAGACCTCTTCCTCCCAGAGGGTAACGTAATTGTATACTTCAGGCAAGTTTGAAGAAGCCCTCATTAAATTATAGCCTAGTCAGTTAGAAAAAAGGTGGCAGTAACTCATTCATCCACGTCTGTCCAACAGAAGAGTCCAGTATGTGTCCAACTGGTAGCATCCTGTTCATCGACAGTTTATCCTGCACGCCACACAGTCATTATTAATCACACGCTCAGTTTTAACCTTATGTATTAAAAAGCTTTTCTCACAAACAGATTTTAGCTGGGAAGTTCCCTCCAGTAAGCCATACTAAGTTGTCTCTTCGATGTTTCCTTCCTCTATAATTATAGGCACTAGCTTGGACTACTCTAGTTTAAGCAACATTTTAATGGTGGATCTTTCGCGTTTGTTTGCGATGCTTAAAATTAGTGTAATTGCGTTAAAAGAAAGACTTTACAGTTTAAGGATTATTCTGCTAGCCACGATATATATATACATATGTATAATTATCTTATAATAGTATATAGGAAATTCTAGTGAACGTTGTCTAAAACAAAACTGCGACATCTGGTGACAGTTAGAAATATTAGTTTTCAAACGAGGTTTATCAAACAGCATAACAATATGTTCAAAACATTTGTATTTAATAGTACAAGTTTATCTGTAAAATGTTAGGGTTTTTTGTTTGCTTAATTAGTAGTTATTTAGTACTGACACTTAATATTAAGTGATTTTAAAAACATATTACATTATATTTTATTTATAGAAATAATATGTGTTGTATTCAGAATTTTCTCTCCAAGCTACACAACTGCCATCTTCCGTCTATAGTTGTAAGTTTATAGATGGCCAATAGCATTTCTTCGGCTACTCTTGTTGACCAAATAGTGGGATTGTGCATCCACTGTTCCTAAGCTCAGAGCGCGATTTTATGGAACCGGAGATCAAACAATAGTCTTGCACATTCCATACTTACATTATTTGAGTTTTCTCTATTTTTCCGATTATTTTATTGACGGATTTCTTGAGGAAATCATAGTTCCTCAAATCCTATAATGACCATGTTTTACCCAAAAGCTAAAGATTATTTTCCATTTGTTCCACGTGAGGGCGTTAACGAGGTTAACTGAAATCTCAAAGCACCTGCAGACCTTAGTCATCTTCTTAATATTTTTTTCCCGGGAAAATTGCCAAGCAGAAATGATCTGCTTACGGTTAGGATTTCTCGCTCTGTGCTCCTAAAAATATAACAAAATTAACAGACCCTGCTGATCAAGAGGGGGGTGCGATATCACGTGGTAATGACTCTTACTGTTTAAACTCCTTTATTTAATTCAAGGGGGGAACAGGTTATGTACGAGGAAGCAAGTTACACCCGGAGACTGAGGTGTTGAAGGATAGATTAACATGTGGTATGACCCAATCGGGCACTATTATTCCACTTCACAGAGAGTGAAAAGAGAGAGTTTTGTTATTGTTCAAAGTGCACTGACCCCTAAAACTACAAGATACGCAGATGGTAAGTACTCAAATTAAGATTCTTTACTTTTGGAATTAGTTTTATGTGTCTTAAAGCGCATTTAATGCTGGAATTTTTTACAGGCCGTTAATGACATAAATTATACCAATCATACTTGTCTCTAGGTGTGTGTTTGCAGATTTGTTGAAATATTCTTAACCAAACTAAAGAATGCAGGGTTAGTTGTAAGTCATGTTAGCGATATATTGTAAACTTTCTTTTGGTTTGGTTAATATTTACCTTATGAAAGGGATTATAGCGCAAAAAATCGGGGTTCGATCCATGCTTTGAGCACAGCGCAGATAGCCCATTGAGCAAAGCAACCTTGCGCTTAATAATAAAACAGCGAAACTTATGAAAGAAACTAAAAATATCACGTTTCTATCATGTAAACCATTTTAAAACTATTATTTTTACGAGATATTTTATTGGCGTGTTGATTTCGTCTCTCCTAACGTAAAGGAGCATGCGGATCTGAAACAACTTGGGCTAATTACTGCTGATAATAATGTCTATACTGCTTGGTTGAAAATCAAAGGTGCGAATTACTTTACAAAGTTGTGCAAGTAAGTAACTCCGACCACATGAATAGAGTTGATAAGAGACTCTGTTTACTATTAATTATCTTACGAATAAAATATTTATTTTATTTCTGTGCGGTAAACATAAGTGTCGATAACACCGTTGAGAAACTAATAGGAAAAAATGATTTGAAGGTATTGGAAGAAAACATAGCAACCATTGTATAGCAACTGCTGCCGGGCAACCACTGTATAGCAACCCCTGCAAGGCAGCTAACGTATAGTAACCGTTGTGCACCAAGACTGATCACACTAAACAAAGAAATACAAAAAATGAAATCACTATAAGGGAAAATAATGATATGGCTAACGTTTCGATCAATGAAGGTTGTAGACCCGAATTATTGTTCTTTACTGTAATTTTAATTGTTGTTGTTGTTGTTTTTTATTTGCAAATTTTATCAAGCTGCGCGACATTTATTACTTATCTTACACTGCACAACCTAATACATTAGCGTTGAAGGATTTTGAATAACATTAACGTACAACGTTAATATCCTATCAAGATGTTTAGACGTTATCAAACCTCTTCAAACAAAAAAATATGTGTATATATACATATATATACTTGATTTACATCGAAACGTAATGTCGCGCGAAACTTACAAGAAATGTACCGTTTGATGCTAGAAAAGTTAATAGCTATCAACAAATTCATTCGACTGGAATCAAAGTTTAATGATGAACAGTAGTAGAACGACGGCAGCAACAACGAACATTTGACACTTGTATGTTCAGTAACAAACATTTAATTCTTGAACGTTTCGGAATATACATTTTCCATCTTCAGCAAGCTGTATTGAACAGGGTAAATTATTAGGTACAAATATTTATAAAGTTTAAACATTCTATAAAAGTAATTAAAATACAGAATAAAAGTAGGAACTAAATTAACAAATAAACAATAAATTAATAGAATAATGCAACAATATT